TCTGAAGATATATATGTTTCTCTCAGCGCAAATGAATATAATTTTATAATTATACCGTAATATTAAAGTTAAATGTATTATAATGTGAGAAGGATTAACTTTATTATTATATATGTATGTGTATATATTTGTATATATATATATATATATATATATTATATAGAAACTAAAAAATGTAAGATATAAACTCTTTTTGATAACAAAAAACCTAATGTAAAAAAATTTTTTATTTTGTAATCTATTTAAATTTTTGGTTTTACATAAAACCATCTTTTCGATAGTACCAATAGTTAGACGAGACATCCTTTATATGTTATGTGCATGCATTTATACATGCATGTATATCAAAAAGAACATACATATGTGTATGTTAACTATTATTGTTTCATTTACTTTAAAAACTACGTATATTTATACTTCTTTTCTTACCTCGGAACCAGCCTGGGTAAACCTGAAGATGTTATCAATGAACAATAGTACATCCTGACCTTCCTGATCACGGAAGTACTCAGCGACGGTAAGTCCGGTGAGAGCTACACGAGCACGAGCGCCTGGCGGTTCATTCATTTGTCCGTACACTAGCGCTACCTTGGAGGTCTTATCTTTGAGGGAAATAACACCGGTTTCAATCATTTCATGATAGAGATCGTTGCCCTCGCGTGTTCTCTCGCCCACGCCGGCGAATACTGAATAACCACCATGAGCCTTGGCTACATTGTTAATCAGTTCCATAATGAGTACAGTCTTGCCGACTCCAGCACCGCCGAATAAACCTAGTGAATAATATCAAGATGATTCGTTATTAATGCAAGTGGTTATAGCAGTATATGATCTCGATATTTTCCCTAAAGAAAAATAGAAAATTTTTGTGTTTTTAATTAATCTGTAATCAATTCTATTGTAATAATGCCTCACCAATCTTTCCACCCTTTGCATAGGGAGCCAGTAAATCCACGACCTTAATGCCTGTTACTAGAATCTCTTGCTCGACAGACATTTCTACGAATTCGGGAGCATCTGCGTGAATAGCAGCCAATTTATCTGTAGGGATAGGTCCACGCTCGTCAATGGGTTCACCAATGACATTGATAATGCGACCCAGAGTCTCAACTCCCACAGGAATACGAATAGGATATCCAGAATCCAAAACATTTTGACCACGCACCAAACCTTCCGTACCTAGAATACAAAATTTATAGCAGGTCCTAATTTTACTAAATTGTAATAAACAAAAAAATAACCATTAATGTTTGGTTGTAGGATTTCAAGTGGTGTGGGTCTTGGATACAGGATGTGATTAGAACAAAAAGAATCGATAGGAAGAAAATCTGTGACTCGGTGAAGAGAATACCTGAAACAATAATAATTCTAATGAAGAAATCTAAATGGCTGGAGGTCATTAGCTCTTAGGCACGCGGTTCTTAGTCTTTCAGACTGGTACTAGAGAAAAATTGTCTGATTCATTTTTTAGAAACTAATCTTTCTGATCTTTGGAAAATAATAAGGAAATAAAGTGTTCAAAACGTAAACTGGAGTTTATAAACCAGTATAGTCTGACTCAATAGGATAAAGTAATTTTTAATATTTTTTTTATGCTCTTCTAAATTATAAGAAATAAATACAATCTCTTACATGACTTCTGAAGATGTCTAATATTAAAATATAATATATACATTTCAGATATAGAGACATATAAATGGTAATTATATTCCAATTCTTAAAAAAAGAAATTACAAATAAAGGACATTAGACCAATTAAATTAATCACATTTTAAGATATTAGAAAAGCTGTTTAAAATATAATGCTTGTGCAACATCACTGAATCTGAATTATATAACTTTTATATTTTCTGTATAAAAAATTCATAATTTTATAAATCTTACATATTATATAATATTTACAAAGTATTACCATCCATAGCAATGGTGCGCACTGTGTTTTCTCCAAGATGTTGAGCAATTTCAAGTACGAGCCTGGGTGTACGATCTTGAACCTCCAAAGCATTGAGAATTGGTGGAAGGTCATCTTCAAATTGTACGTCAACAACAGCACCAATGACAGCAACTACCTTTCCTTTTGCACGACTCTTTGTTGCGGCTGCTGCTTTTGCCGCATAGTCTCTTTCTATTTGGGATAACATTTAAATCTTTGAAGAAAGTTTGTGTGAAATTAAATAAATAGGTTAAATATCTCTTTTTTATTTCATTTTTACCAGAGAGAACATATAAATCCAAAGTATTCAAATATCTTTGCAAGGATTGACTTACAAACTCAAGAAACACATGTTACATAACATAAAAATATGCTTGTATATATAAATACTTTAATAACTTATTTTATAAGTTAATAATTCTAAAGAATCTTATTTAAATCAACTTTATGTTATATTTCAAAACATATTTTTAATAAAAATTGGAATAAAGAAATAGAGGAACATAGAGAGAAATGAAACTCTATGATCGTAAAAAAAAATTATTAAACGAATCATAAAATAAAGATTTCTACATATATTCTTTGATTCGCATGAAAATGTAAAACAATAATTGCATTTATGATTATATCGAATATTAATTCATTATCACTACGAAGACGCAATGAATGAATGTGACTTTAGGCCGCCATATTGACCAGTGGAATCCTCCGACAATCGATCACCGATTATATAATCGTTATAATAAATATTCTTTCTTTATACCTCAATAATCTGTATGAAATTTAAATATATTAGTCGTCTGTTATGAATGAATGACATTAAATCGTTATTCCAAGAATACTTTCATCGAAGCAAGAAGTGAAGAAATGGCGAATATGTCGACAAGACTTCGTGTGCTATCGGCAAATTTTTCAATATATTAAATAAAACAAAATGCATACTCACTGTTAATAGCGAAGGCGGTTGATACCTTCGCTATTTCATTCTGAATGAGGCAGGGTTTAACAACCCTCAGGGCTGCTTTCGATACAGCACTCAACATCATGGCCGGTCGATTAAAAAGAGACTGCCACTGCTGAAAGACAGGTTTCGTAGTCCCGTCGAATAGAGACTGCGTATCTGCGTAACTAGTGTTATTGCAGGTCAGATATTTTGCGCATGCGCGGCAAATTCGGCATCAATCATAGATCTTATAGCATAGACTTAGATATGACACAGATATGAATATCGACGAGAGGCAGAGATTCATTTGGACACAACCACTCATATTGACCGGTGTTTAGGGTAATCAACACGATTGGCCAATCAGAGAGCTCTCTGTTCAACTCAGCCAATAGGCAATGTGTCCAATTGAACGTCATCCATTGAAGATCGAGAATTTAAATTTGTCCAATCAGAAGAAAGAAATTTTAGTTTCTTTTATTTTATTGGTCCAATCTTAATCTTCAATTTTCAATGCGTAATCTAATACAGATTTTAAATTTGCTTTGTGGCTGCACTGGACTGCATTAATGAATTTAGAAGTTTGTTCTTCGCGCCATTTGTTACATCTATTCTATTTGTTGTATATTGTATATTGTACGTAAGCAAGTACATCAGTACGGTAAATTTTTTAAATTATATTTCTTGTCAAAACGAAAACATTTTAAAAACATGATAATAATAATACATACACACATCAATGAGAAAAATTTAATTACAAATAAAAACTTTAATGGCAAATACAATTAAATAACTTATTAAAATAAAATTTATTTTTTTTAATAAAGAAGAAAAATTACATTATTAATATTAATATATACTCAGTGCAATAGTTATTCACTATGTAAATATTATAATTGTAGTATCTCATTATACAAACAGAAAAAGAGAAGGGGATAAAATGACTCTACAATTGTCCTTGCCATGTGTGCATCATTGTCCTACTTTTATATGATAATACGTGTGTAATAGTTGCACGCACGCATAGTTACGTAATTTCTTTCAATTAACGAAATTATAAACTTTGGAGTTTCTCTCTTTCTCTCTCTCTCGCGATTGCACATGCAATTTAATCCAGTAGATTCGCACAATACGTTTTTATTGTTAATCAGATTCAATAACAGAAATCTCAAATAAAGTTTTCTGAAAAAAAGGTGCCGCTTATTAACGTTGGTAATGTAAATGGCCTTATTTACAGGATGATGAATTGAAACCATCGAGAGAAAAACGAGGCATGACTCATTCGGCAAAAGCGAATGGAACATTCCATCGGTGGATGGCGTCGTGATGTATATAGTAATATATTACATATAACATATTTACGGATACCACAATAGAATAAAGTAAGAATTTTATGAAACAGTTTATTTGAAATTTGTCTTTAATAATATTTTTTTATTTTTTATTAATAATAATTATAATGTATTAATTATAATAACAATAATAAAGTAATAATAAATTGATATTATCTTACTATATATATATTTAATAATATTAACAAATATAATATTACATAAAAATAAAATATAACATGAAATCAACACATTATTTCCAGTGGAAATTTTTAAATGCAGGACTAGGCATAAAAAAAGAGATGGAGAGAGAGAGAGAGAGAGAAAGAGAGAAAGAGTGAAAAGAAGAGTAAAAAAGGGAAAAGACAAATTAAAAAAAAAACAAAAAAACGGAAGGAGTAAGATAAGGAACAAAGATGAAAAGGAGAAAAAGAAAGAGGAACAGGTAAAATATATTCATTGAGATATTAAAAAAATACACGTATAAATTAATATCGATATTATAAATAAATATATATGCCAAATTCTTCTATTTATATAAAAAACTTTGATCAGCATTGTTCCATTGTTAAATGCTGTTTTGAATGAAATCGTAATCTATAAGTGAATATAACGAATAAGTGCGAATTCAAGTTTCTAATTAATATAATTGCAAAGTTGTCTATTTGAATCGCCACATTTTGAAATCACGCGAATAGACGCGCTTTAATTAGTTAAGTTCGAAGCGTAGTTATAAATAGTAAATGGAAATAGTAAAAAGAACACACATTCACATGACACACGACAACACGATCTACGAAAACTCCCATAACAAAATTCAATTAGTTCTTAAGTATTCATTTTGATATATATATATATA